CTGAGATCCGAAGTGATTGTGTGCGATCAGGCTGACCAATCGTGGCGTTGGTCTGCACGGTGAGGTGGAAGACATGTGTACTCTGAGCCAAGGCTCATTCTACATTTCTTAGAAGCACCAGGATCTAAGATCTGAGTCTTTTAACAAAGGAACAAACAAGTCCCACCACGATATTTTCCAGGGGCCTGCCATGCTCTCCAAAGACGTACCAGGCTGGCTTTGTCTAAGTGTAGTGGGTCAAACTGAGTCGCAGTTGAAGGACCAGGGTCCCAATCATGTGACCCCCCCCAGCCCCCTCTTGGGGCCCCTCTGTCAACTTAACCGGTCACGTGTCCTCCCAGGTCAACCAGAGTGCCATGGCCTCACACGACCTTCCCATTTGGTCGGCACCCACATAACGTGTCCTGTAGGGCCGGCAATGCACTTCCAGCATGGTGCCATCCAGCGCTATTACTCAAAGCACACCGTGCCCCTCTAGGGCCGGTACTACACCCACAACATGGTGACATCCAGCGATGTCGCTACATAAGTACAAAGGTGTTGAGCCCTAATTGATCTGTTGAAATCCCACAGATGGTGAGGAAAATCTATAGTCCTTTCCAAATATGTCCTACCTGTATAAATCACTAGCCTTTTTATCTGATTTTCTTCTCTGTGGAGGGTTGGGTTTTTCATCAAAGGCTGCATCCTCATAAACATGTTCCATAGTTCCATTTATTTGGTATAGCCCTGTGAGCCATTCGGCTCTTGAATCGGGTGCAACCACAACAAACAAAAACATGAACAAGAAAACATCTTAACGTGATTATGTGACTGTGCAAACAGAAAATCCAGGAAAAAACATCAAAATAATCCTGAAATAGCACCGTACACCAACGCTGTGTGCAAAAATCCCAGTGGGATGCAAGTTAAACAACAACAACAACAACCACAAGACAACTAAGATTAAGGCCATCATTCCAACTCCGTACTACAATAAACAAAAACATGGCCAAAACCAAAAAAACTTTTAGAAATCACCAAAAGAAAAGCCATAAATGCAATGTAACAGTGATCATAGGGACTGTGACCGAATTTTTTACAATAAATTACATAAATAACATGTAATACCAAACCCTAGAGCCATATTTTAGGCCACTGAATAGCAGTGGCAGCTAGGGGTGTACAACTCCTCTAGAGCAGTTTTGAGTGAAGATCTCATAAAGCATGGCCACGTCAATATATTTATAAAGTGAACTACATTTCAAACAGAGTAAGACATTACAGGCCTCCCCGTACTGTGGTTGCTCATGGATATTATTCGGATATATTTCGCCGCACCGGCCGGTGTGGTTTTGTGAAAGGCGTGGCCCAGGACTGGTTAGATATCACTTTGCTACTAATGCTAGCCATGGGTGGGAATCTAACTCAGGTCGCAGGGTGATTACCACTGCACCGCCGCTCCATCTCCTGGTTTTTTTATTGTAATGGACAAAACACTTATTCCATATGGGTAAACGTGGCTGAAAATCATCGTGATTGTCAAGAGTCTTTGTGTGCTAAATGCGTGCCTCACACAAAGGGTATCCCGCGAATATTATTAAACAATCACGCGGCACATTGTGCACGCAATTAGTCATTGTGTGGTGTAGCTGCATATGTGAGCGTTGCTTCACGTGCAAATTACAAAACGCTCCAGTCGTGCGTGCTTGACCTTGCTTAAATTGAAGTCTGTGTTCGATTTAACGTGTTGATGTCATGCCGAGGACGAATGGATCTGCTGCAAAGGGAATTATTGCATCAAAACATTTGTTAAGCAGCAACGCATTTTTAAATTTTTAATTTGCCCATAATAAATTTGGATAATTTCGGTGTTCTAACATCACGAACATTTGATTGGAAAAGGCCTATATTTACTACTATAATGAGCCAAGAATGTCTGTGTCCCGCACGTGACGTCACTCCACGTCGGCCAGCCCCCCTCATTAATATTCATGAACAGGTGATGTCATCCACATCGAACAGCCTCTCTCATTAATAATCATTATAAGGTGACGTCTTCCAAATGGACCCCCCCCCATTAATAATTAGTGGCTGACGTCACTCCACATGGGGGGGGGGCGAGGCGCCTCTTCCCCCCTCCTCGGCGTCAACTCACAACCCTCACTACAAAGGTAGAACCCTCACGTCACGTGATCTCTGTAACGCTGTTGAGACATCGAAGTAAAAAGGGCGTCATGATGAACAAGGGATTATAACCTTGAAATTAAATAAGTCTGTGTCACCGCGGCCTTACAAACTGCACACGAATTGATGCAATGACTATCACGTCGCAGTCTGCTTTTCGCTTGCAAGTTTCAGATTTACTGAAATACATCTGTCCTTGGACAGACAAAAGGCTGGTTATTATCTCTTTTTCTTAGTTCATTGTCAGTGACTCACTTACATTTCTTGTACTTTGCAATCCAATTGCCTTTTGTATTGTTGTAAATTTCTGACCCTGTCCCCACTGGACATCTGTGACACACACAAAAAAGAGCTTTATAGCTCTTCGGATTTCTCCAGTCTTGATACCGATTCTGATTCCCATCGATTCTTTCTCTCCGCCAAGTTGCTCACCGGGGTTGTTTGGCCATACTTCGCCGTGCTGGGTCAGTACGGATTGGTGAAAGAGAGGGCACCCCACACAACCGGTTAAGATATCATCAACCGCTGGTGTCATCAGCCCTCGACTGAACATCTGTGAACTACTGGACATCTGTGAAAAAGAGCTCTATAGCTCATCGGATTTCTCCAGCATATATTAAAAAAATATATATTCTGACAGGGAATCAACCTCGGGTCGCCGGGCTCGGAGTGCAATTCTCTAACCACCGTTGCCGCCGCTCTCTTCTCTCGTGAGTGAAGGCATGTCCACATCAGTCCGGTGCGAACTCTTTCTGAACTCTCCACGCCAGCATATCCAAATGGTTGAACAAAGATGAGAGTGGGCGTGGGGCAGATCGGAGGAAGTGTTGGCGGCTGTGATTGTCCATAGGGCTCTCAGGTGCGGTGTGCACAATCACGTGCATTCAAGACAAAGTTGCATTAGGCTCTGACAGGATGTAGCTGACTACGAGTCGGGCACTCTGCTTAGCTATATTAAAGTGCACATCCCGTGGATTTGGTAGATATTGGTGAGCCATTGAAGAACACCATGGGGTCAATGCAGTTTGTGCATGGCTTAAAATATACATGGGTAATTACCAGAAGAGGGCCTTGAAAACAGCTGCCACCATGGATAGATGATACCATTGTTACAGTATTATTGAATACACAGATGCGTATGGGATGGGGTTTTTTTCCTGGAAATGAAGATAACTGGAAAATCGTAATTAAAATGAATGATTTTATAATATGTCTGCTGTTCAAATCGTCGAGTTTGCATTGCAATTTAACACAACTGCTGATTTTGTTTTTGTATGGGACAACTCACGCACCCATAGTATTTATTACACATCAGAGTTACAAGTTCCAGGATGAACTTCGAAAACCTCTCATTCTCATAATCAGCAGTAGCAGAGCCATGATCAATCCACTGCTGGATGAAGGCCCCTCCCCAAGCCGTCGCCAATCCTATCTGCAATGCAACAAGTGAAATTACTAATCCACGCTGTTATAGGATGAGGGAAGGTGCTATTGGCAGATACGTTCAGCTGCCTGTAAAGACACACACATACATATCTTTCTTTATTCCCTATGAATAAACGCAGGTTGATATTCGTTCTCCTTCCCCTGCACCCCCGATTTAGAACGGTTGGCTACGTACGGTGCGACAGAAGGGGTACAGTTAAATGTGGATCGTAGGATATTTATTCCACCACTCCTGGGTTATTCCACTTCTAGGAACAATCGGCTTGTGTTAAGGGGATGGGTGGATTAATACATCACAGGATTGCAATAGATAGCGACGGATTTTTAGAGCTCCTTCATCAAGCAGTGGATAGATCATAGCCGATGATGAAGATGATGATGATGATAACCATGATCATGCGAGCAATATGAAGAATGGATGTGCGGTTAATAGGAAGATCCTCGGATAGATTCGGTGTACAGATAATAATGGACAACCTCTGGTAAAAAAAAAACCTGAGCTTGGTGGTGTAAAAATGAACGTTGCCATGTAATCCCGGTCGGCTTGGCATGCTGTCATTGAAGAAAGTTGACTGTGGGTCCAGAGTGTTGACTGTTAGTCGAACACTCACTGGTCCGAGCCCATGTCTCTGGCCTTGGTAATTCTTTGCCAGATCATTTGTTAACCTGTCCGTGGTGGGTTCATCTACCTTGGCGCTCGGCACGTCCCCCCCTCCTGCTTTGCCGAGTCACTTCAATCAAGTGATAAACGCAATCAGCACGCTGTCTATCAGTGCAATCAATTTTATTTTAGAATGCCATTCAACCCTATGAAATGCGGAATTAAAAAAATCAACAACCGCTGTCATTCGTTCGCAACAAAATCACCTTTGTAAACTGGACAAATATAAAACGCCGCCACAATATTCGCGCGAAATAACGTTTTTTGGGCGATTGCTATCGTCTCGTCAATATTTGTTCAAGCAAAGGAGAAAGTCCGATTTACCCAGAATATTTTCTATGAATCGTTCAATTATAAAGCAGTCTGTGCTCATGGCAACGTGTATTTACCTGATGTAGGTTCTATATTTCATGCATAACTGTATATGATATAAACATAGAGAGCCAGTTTTACATAGGACAAAACAGGTGACACACATCGCTTTGGCGATTTGCTCCATTGTTACTGATCGAGAAACTTGCAGTTGTGTGACATCGATTGGACATAATGGAATTTCAGTTCGAACATAAAATAGGCCCACGCTGTGTTATACACATTGTACAATGGTGTCCGGTGCAGTTCGTTCACATGCATGTGCATTTCTACAGCTATAAAAGCAATGGAAATGAGGGATTTGAGAGTCAGGGAGGAGTCCAATGTAAAGGAACCCATGCACTTTGTCTTCCAGCCGAAGCTTTTGGCCAAGGATCTTCTGGACCTGGTGGCCTCTCATTTCCAGCTCAAGGAGAAGGAGTACTTCGGACTGGCCTACACAGATGAATCGTAAGTCGCCGTGACACACGGGTCCAGCTTCACACCCACTCCATCCCTCCCCCTTCATCCTTTGCTAAATGTACGTTTGTATGTTGAACTTATTTTTCACCGTACGTAGCCAACCATGCTGAGCAGCCCCAGGGATATATATTAAAGTCTGCTTTGAAAACCCATTTCTCGAAACTGCCCTACCCTCTTTGGTCGGTTGCCCTGGTTCTGTTTTTGTTTCCTGCTTTTCGTGTATTTTATTATTAAGTGTGACCATTTCTTTCATAGTTATTCGTTTCCATCCCCCCCCCCTCCCTCTTTTCACTTACACTAAAATCGTGTTGTCGTCATCCTGTCGTGAGATAACTCATCAGCTTGCGGTGCATTGCCCCGTGTTGGAGAATGTGCCTGAAAGGTGACATCTCAGGGCTACCTGTGAAGTTACTGTCTGTGAAGTCACTTCGTGAGGCCTCTTTAAACACACCTTTTCATGCCCTGTGTAGATTGCACATCGAATTGAAATGTTTGAAGTTTTGAAATAGAGAATTCGGCCAAATTGAGTGAAAAAAACAAATGTAATCCATTTTTAATGTAGTCACTGCCGACCAGACAAATATCATGAACTCACTTAACTTAAGAACCCAGTTTAACCATGGGTGTCTGCCCCGATACTAACCCAGGATATCAGCAGCACCAGCTCAGTGCTCTGACCCCAGAGCCATCCGTCCACATTTAAGTGTTCACTTTTTAAAAAAAAATTATTACATGCTTTTATTTAATTCAGTCTGTTGTATCCTCAAATCTTGTAACTCAATTTTAACCCACTTCCCAATGTGGTATCGACTGCACACTTGGTATACTTATGTCATACTGATGGCAATACTAAATTCTATCATGCAAAAAAACATTTTAAAACATTATTTTTTATATGTTATTTTCGGCTTGGGTCTAATTGTCCACAGTCAACTGACGTTGGCTGTAAATCACCACGGTCCTTTACGTTATGGCAAGCTTCAGGGCCACTTCCTGGAGTCGTGGAGTTCTGCCATTACTCGTACGGTACATTTAATTAAAGTGTGTTAAATTTTCTTTTTTAAATATTACTTATTTAAATCTGAAGAGGTGTTAAAGCTAATTGAATTCATAGAGCATCTAAATGCAACTTCACACACACACACACACAAGCACACACAAAAGACATCCCATATTGCCCAGCACGGCTGTTGGGGCAAATGCTGTTCGCAAGCATCTATTAAGGCCAGCATGAGACACAGAGGGAGAGTGTTGCCAGCACCCCCGGCCCCCCAGCCCCCCAGCCCCCCAGCCTTCACGCAATCCCCAGTGCTTTTGTTGAACTCATTTACTTATTTTAAGCTGGGGTCAACACAAACATGCACTTGGAAAGCCTGTTCATTGCTTCACATGGTAGTATTTGTCCCGAATGTGACCTAATTGACTGACTCGGGTCATCGCAGAAATATTTCGTTTCTGAAAAAAAGTTTTCATAATAATGGCCAAATAAGGAAAACCTCACTGAGCTCCAAGACTCCTCTTCTGGAGGGTCTTGCATTGGGATGCGTGGCCAATTCCTTTCACTAGTGTTTGGCTTGGGAGAAAAGCGTGAGTCCTTTACACAGAGAAAACATTCCTCACAGCAGCGGCTATTGGCTAACCGTCGATTAAAGACGGTCACCGAATGGCGCGCTTTCAGATGCCCTTCTGAGGCCGTCTGGAACGCTGTTCCTTCTGACATTAGAAAGGCACTGGAGGCTATGCACGTTTAAATCTAAATTGAAAACGTATTTCTTTAGAACTGCTTTTTGTGTTTAGTTTGTTGTCCTTCCCCTGCACCTCCGATTAGCGCGGTTGGGTGCGTACGGTGCGAAAGAAGTTCAACATACAGTAAAACCTTGGAATTACGAGTAACTTGGTCTGCGAGTGTTTTGCAAGACGAGCAAAATTTTTAAATAAATATTAATTTGATAAACAAGCGACGTCTTCCAATACGAGTAGCGTACGTGTATACGCTTTGTCTGCCGAGCGTCACGTGATCGCTACTAATATACGAGTGCTTTGATATACGAGTGCTTTGGATTACAAACACGTTTCCGGAACGAATTATGCTCGCAATCCAAGGTTTTACTGTAGACATACACGCCACGTTTATGTGCGCGCTCGGCCCAGCGATCTCCTGACCCCCTCCTCTCACAGCCTCGCACCTCCTTACATCACCTGGCAAGTTCCGTGGCCACGTAACAATTGCTCTCTTTGAATCGGGGATATTGTCACAATGCGGGTTCATGGAGTTTCCTATTACGTTGAATGCAGTGCATCGAGTGGCTGCAGGTTTTTGCACAGCCCAGTCACGCGCAACGCGCACAAGTTGAAGATAATTCTCGCGCGCACGATTAGGACGCGCGCGGTATTCGCGTAAGAATCTATTTTAACTGAGCAATCAATGCATCATTACATCGTCATCGACCACGATCAATCCACTGCAAGTCATCGCCATTTGTCACCGTTCTGCGATGTAAAGATCCGCTCCTGCCTGGTAAAATTGAGACCGGAATAAAATCGAATTTTTTTTCGAAAGCACGTCCACAATTCTGTGAGAGTTCACCAGATCGCAGTGCGAGGTACAGTTGTCCCTCACTATAACGCGGTTCACCTTTCGCGGCCTCGCTGTTTCGCGGATCTTTTTTAGTGTAATTTCGCATGCTTTTTTTTCCTGCGTACAGTATGAACGCGCATTGTGTTCGGCGTCCTGATTGGCTAAGGGAGAACCGCACATGTGTTATGCGTCCTGATTAGCTAAGGGAGTACAGAATGCGTTCGGCTAGCCAGATTTACAAAAATGTTTGGGCTTGAAAACAGGTTTTGATCTTTGGTTTCATTTACTAATATTGTACTTATTTTTTTAAATCTGCGAAAGTTTGAACTTTGAGAGTGTTTAAATAAGAGAGAAATGTGAGAAAATGTTAATGCCTGTCTGAGAAAAGTGTATAAAAGTGTGTGGTTAGGGGTTTTACGGCCTTAAAACATGTATAATAATTAAAAAAATTAAAGCTGATTACTTCGCGGGTTTCATCTATTGCGGGTTATTTTTAGAACGTATCCCCCGCGATAAACGAGGGACCACTGTATACGCAAATGGTGAGAATTTTTACACGTTGCGTCTGATGTGGGATTTTTCATCTCGATATCTCAGCATCCGTGACCCAGCGAGGCCATCATGTACAGGAAGCACATTGTCCAGCCCCTCTTTAGGAAGGCAGTTTTTTTTCCCCCCCAGGATGTCGCTCGGGAACCAAACGGCAGCGCGGCGGTTTCCTGCGTAGCACTTTAGACGGCGGTGCTGGTACTGGTTGGTCATCTCAGGATCCTAGCGTCGTTCCCATAGCCGACGCGAGCGGCACCCCCCCCCCCCCCACCTATGTCTTGACTTTTCCTCTTTCCTTCCTGCGCCTGTTTAGCAAACCACGTGCTCACAGCCGCGCGGCTGCCTTCCCTTGTCGTGCGCCGACGCTGATGAGTGCAGAAATCGGTCGAGTGACGCGTGAGGTTTTAATGAAGCCTTACCGTCGCTAAGATTGTGAACTGTTTTCTTTTTTTTAAATGAAACATCTTGAAAAATTCCAAAATCACTCAAAGTAAAGGGTTATTTTTCCGTGCTGTTTAAGTTACACTGAGCATTATTGAGTCGGTTGCTTAATATTTTTTCTCGACCTTATCAGCCATTATCTATCCACTACTGGATTATAGCCTCCCCAATCCATTGCCATCTCTTAAGAGTCTTCTCGTGATGCAACGATATAAATAGCTCCTGCTGATGAGCTGAGTTTCTCGTTCCATCTCCGCAATAGACATACGAGTATTGCATCGCTAAATCTAAATCATTAACTACAAATTATTTAAAATTGTTCACGCGGGCTTTCAAAACGGATTGACTAGGAATGAACGAGTAATTAGATCACGTGCATGACTGTACCAATGATATCATGGCATCTAACTAAGGACCCGGATCAGGAAGCTCTTTTGCTCGAGGTCTGAGCCGTTGACCTTAGGATGCTGCATGTAATCTCCAGCGAAACGTCGTTACCCATTCGAATGTTTGTGAGATTACTCTCCAACACACCGGCGTTTGATTCACGTGGCACTTTTATGAATTGGCCGTCTGGTGGAGGAGGCATTACGACACATTTTTTTCACGCAATCCAACCCAAAAAGCAACGAGGTTTCCGCCCGTTTTGGGGTACTGTGGATCAGCTCTTTAACCTCACAGCAACTCCTCGAAAAGTCACGGGAGTACGCCCATCCTGTCCGCGTGTGCTTTGCGGACCTGCAGAAGGCTTACGACCGAGCACCTCGCGAGTTGATGTGGCAGGTGATGCTCGTTGCTACGCGCGATCGGGTCGCTGTACAAGCAAAGCGCGAGCCGGGTCCGGCAGCCCCGGACATCTCACAGACCCCTTACCAGACCAGGTCGGGCTTCGTCAAGGCTGCGTGCTATCGCCGTCGTTGCTTATCCTGTTCATGGATCGACTGATGAGACGGTGCACGGTGGCCACGGGCATCAACGTTGGCGGAAGGGAGGTGTCAGCCCCGCTGTATGCAAACGCATCGTCCTCCTAGCCCCAACGCACGCCGACCTCCAGAATGCGCTGAACAGCTTTGTGGCGGAATGCGAGGTCGCCGACATGCGCATCAGCACCCCCGAAACCAAAGACCATGGCTGTGGCGCGGACCAGAGTGGCAGAGCCCCTCTTCATCAACGGGGAAGTAGTGGAGGAGGTCGAAGGCTTCCGGTAAATCGGAGTGTATTTCTCGAGGGATGGAAGAAATGAAATGAAATTGAAGCCCGGATCAGAGCAGCGACCAGAGCGATGCGGACGATGAAGCGATCTGTGATCTCAAGACAGGAGCTGATCCTTCAGGCAAAGCTCTCGGTTTATCGGTCACTATTCGTCCTGATCCTGACCTTCGGCCACGAAACCTGGATCCTGATGGAAAGGACACGCTCA